CAGGAAGTCACGGTTCAATTCCCAGTCAGGGCACACGTCCAGGCTGTGGGCTCGATCCCATGCAGGAGGCAGCTGATCCATGATTCTCTCATCCTGGATGTTTCTATCTCCCTCTCCCTTCCTCTCTGAAATCAATGCAAATATATTAAAAAAAAAAAAAAGGAAATAAAAAAAAAGAACCCAGAATATCCAAAGCAATTCTGAAAGAGAAGAGCAAAGCTGGAGGACTTCTATCATCTTGACTTCAAGACTTGCCATAAAGCTCCAGTAATCAAGACAATGGGGTACGTACTGGCTCAAGAACAGACATACAGATCAAAGAAACAGAAGAGAATCCAGAAGTAAACTCATACATTTATAGTGAATTTTCAACAAAGGTGTCAAGATAATCCAATGGAGGAAAAAACAGTATTTTCAAAACATGGTTTTAGAATAATCAAACATTATACAAAACACAGAATATAGATGCTTACTCCATACCACACAAAAATTAACTCAAAATAGTCCATATATTTAAATGCAAAATTGAAAACTATAAAACGTCTAAAATTTTTGTGACCTTGGTTTAGGCAAAGATTCCTCAGATATAATAAAAGCACAATCCTTAAAAGGAAAAAAAATCAATAAATTGGACTTCACCAAAATAACTTTTACCCTTCAAAGGCATTAAGAAATGGAAGAGAAAAGCCACAGACTGGAAGCAAATAATTATAAATAATTATCTGATAAAGGACTTAATTCAAATTATATAAAGAACTCATGCAACTCAAGACAAACTCAATTTTTTTTAAATGGGTAGAAGTTCTGAACACTTCACCAAAGAGAAGTATGAACAGGAAATAAGCACAAGAAAAGATCCTCAACATCATCAATCCTTAGGGAAATGCAACTTAAAACCACAAAATGCCATTTCACACTCACTGGAATGATTGTAATCCAAAAGACTGACAATGCCAAGTGCCAGCAAGGATGGCACTCTATAATGCTGGTGGGGATGTAAAATTACTAGAAGAGTCACCTCAGAAAATGGTTTGGCGGGTTCTTGAAATGCTAAATATATACTCACCATCTGGCCTAGTAATCCCACTCCTAGATATCTACCCAAGAAAAATAAAAACGTATCTTCATTTACAACCTTGGACATGAATGGTCATAGCAGCATATTTCATAATAGCCCCAAACTGGAAATAACCCAAATATCCATTAACTACTGCATGAGTGGACCAATGAAACGTGGTACGTCTATACAACGGAAAAGCATTCTCCAGCAATAGAAAGGAAAGCACTACTGACCTGAGACAACATGGATGAGCCTCAGAAACATTATGCTAAGTGAGAAGCCCGACACCAAGACTACATACTGTATAATCCCATTTATATGAAACAAACACAGAGTCAGAAACATGGGCAGTAGTCCCCTGGGGCTGGGAGCAGGGGCTGACTACCAGCAGACAGAAGGGAACTCGAGGGAGATGAAAGTGTTCTATGACTCAGCTGCATAAATTTACTAAAACTCACCTAACAAGTATACTTTAAAATGTGTGAATTTAATGAAGTGTAAATAATACTTCAATAAAGTTATATAAAAATAAAAGTGATTGATGAATAAAGCAAATGTTAGCAACTGTGCCCTAGCTGGTTTGGCTCAGTGGATAGAGAGTTGGCCTGAGAACTGAAGGGTCCCAGGTTCGATTCCTGGTCAGGGCACATGCCTGGGTTGCAGGCTTGATCCCGAGTGCAGGGGGTAGCCAATCAATGATTCTTTCTCATCATTGGTATTTCTATCTCTGTCTCCCTCTCCCTTCTCTGAAATCAATAAAAATATATTTTTAATTTTTTTTAAAAAGCTTAGCAATTGTATAATCTAGATGACAGGAATATGGATGCCCCCTGTACAATTTTTAAAAATATATATACTTATTGATTTCAGAGAGGGAAGAGATAGAAACATCAATGATGAGAGAGAATCACTGACCAGCTGCTTTCTGCATGCCCCTCACTGGGGATCGAGCCTGCATCCCCGGGCAAATGCCCTGACCAGGAATTGAACCATGACCTCCTGGTTCACAGGTCAATGCTCAACCACTGAGCCACACTGGCCAGCCTTACAATTCTTTAAACTTCTTTGTGTGTTTTAAATTTTTCATAATAGAAGTCAGAAGGAGAAAGTTTGCTAAACTGAATTTAATGGAAATCACTTGCATAAACAAATATCACAGAAAACAAAGGGTTGGCCCTTATACTACTGCATTCAATAGTTTACTTACTCCTCAAAATGACAAATTCCCATTCAGAGTTTTAACATAGTTTTGACCAAAGGTTAACTGATTCTCCGGCATGACTTTTAGAATAAATAGATAAAACTGCCACAAAGCCCTGTAATGCTGATGACTTCACAACGCGCGCTCTCTCTCTTGACCCCCCAGACCAAGCCTTCACAGCAGCCCACTGGTCGCTCTGCTCGCAGCCTGTCAGCTCCTGAGACGTTGCTGTTAAACAGGGCACCGCTCTCAGGCCCGCCTCTAAAAGCAATCACACTCCCCGGAAGCTTGGGTCAGTGTAAATATAAGCCCCAAAGATAAAACTCCTCTCTCGCTTTGCCTGAGCTGAAAAAGGTGGGACAGAAAGGGTGAGCTGTGGTATGAAGTTCACCAAAGACGGAGGGTGCCCTCAGGTCTGGGTGGTCCAGAGAAGGCTGTCAGAGTCAGAGATGGGTCAGAAAAGAGCCAACGGCAGCGCCTCTCCCAGGCCCTTCCCCCCTTCCCCTGGGCCCTAGACCAGTGACGGCGAACCTTCTGAGCTCGGCGTGTCAGCATTTTGAAAAATCCTAACTTAACTCTGGTGCCGTGTCACATATAGAAATTTTTTGATATTTGCAACCATAGTAAAACACTTATATTTTTGATATTTATTTTATATATTTAAATGCCATTTAACAAAGAAAAATCAACCCAAAAAATGAGTTCGCGTGTCACCTCTGACATGCATGTCATAGGTTCGCCATCACTGTCCTAGAGCCTGACCCTCAAGGGCCAGAAGCCTCTGGGGAAGCTTGAAAGACTACGGCAGCGGTTCTCAACCTGTGGGTCGCGACCCCTTTGGCGGTCGAACGACCCTTTCACAGGGGTCGCCTAAGACCATCCTGCATATCAGATATTTACATGACGATTCCTAACAGTAGCAACATGACAGTTATGAAGTAGCAACGAAAATAATGTTATGGTTGGGTCACAACATGAGGAACTGTACTTAAAGGGCCAGAAGGTTGAGACGCACTGGCCTAGGGCATCACCTGTTGTCATTTACCCTAACCCTGCTCTGCATCACCAATCCAAGCTGTTGGTTTTTTCTTTGTGCTCATCTGGGGAGGGTTGCTATTTTTTTTTGTTTGTTTTGTTTTGTTTTTTCGATCTGGTTTTGCTTTGCCATTGCATTTATAACCTCAACACTCTCAGACATTGCCAGATCTGTCTTTCCGAAAGCAGCGCTTAGTTACACGCATGTCAGAAAGGACTTTGCTGCTGGTCAGGAGTATTTCCCAAAGGTTGCCGGTAACATCTGATGTCATCCTCCATGTTCTGTGTTTAGGAGAGACACTTAAAAGGTATTTCCCTGACACAGTCCCTCAGGCATGTTCAGCAGTTACTAGCTGTGCATAGATACCTAAGGAGTAGACCGATGCTGGGGAGTCAAGTTCTCCTGTTTGTTTGTTTGTTTGTTTGTTTAAAATAAAGAACGTAGTAGCCCTGGACAGGTAGCTCAGTTGGTTAGAGCACTGTCCCGATACGCCAAGGTTGCGGGTTCAATCTCTGGTCTGAGCACATACAAGAATTACCCAATGAATGCATAAATAAGCCCAACAACAAATCGATGTTTCTTTCTCTTCCTCTCCTTCTTCTCTCTAAAATCAATCAATAAACAAACAAAAAGGACGTAGTAAACGTGCCACACACTTCTTTCCTCATTAGGGGAAATCCAGGGTATGGACCAATGATGTAAGTGTTTATCAATGCGTGTGCTGCTGTTACCAGCAAGCAATCCCTGACATGGTTAACAGAGCCCAAGTCCACAGCATTTCTTTAGCTATTCTGGAGGCATTTTCTTCTATGATCTAAGTGCTTCTGTGATTAGAGAAATAGTCTGAACGTCTAACTGTTGGCTTGAATGGAGACCACCTTGGTAAGATAAATCTTCTGGATTTGTGTGGCCTGTGAGCCGCTCATTAGCAGGAAACAGCTGAAGGATTGTAAGAGCTTGTACAGGGCAACGCCAGAGCAATCAGGTGATCAGCTCGTACTTCAGCCATTCTGCGACCTGCTGCCCCCACTCTAGGTTTCAACTGCACTGTGTGTGTTTTCTCTGTGAGGTCCCTAAGCAGAAAGCACTGTGGTAAAATAATTTTTCAAATCACAAGTCCCCAAGTCCTCCTGAAGTATGTTAGTCAAGGAGCCACAAATCTCTTCTCTAGTTTCCACCAATCCTCCACCCCCCAAAAAAGTCAAGTCTCTATCAGAATTTCATATTAATCATTGGAACAAACATTTCTTGATCCCCTGACCACAAAGAACTTAAAGCATCAGGGGGAGATAAATGCTTCTACTGGAGGAAACAGTAAGTACACATGGCAGTCTGGTCCCTGTCTACTGCACAGCCAATCTATCTTTGAAGAAAAATGTTTTAAGAACTTCAGGAAATTTAACTGTTGCTGCCTGACATCCCGGAGCACTTGGATAGTATATGTTTATTATTCAAAATAATGCACAGAAAAGGCTAAACGTATGTAAGGATCAAGGCACCTCCTGAACAGCCTGTGCCTCTGACATTCCCCAAGGAACCCTGAGGACAGGCAGGTGCTTCTTCCTCTTTCCAGCCTCGTATAGCGGGTTCGCTCTGTCCAGCCGTCGGGAACAGTTAACAACACAGCTTGCAAATAGGCTTCTCCCCCAGCGAAAAGAAATCCAGCAGCCCACCAACACTGTCACAGCCCTTCCCACACTTACCAGTGCCATAGGGAGGATGCAGCTGATGGCAGTGAGCATCAACGGCCTGAAAAAATACAGGTGGGAGTTTCAATTTTTATTTAGAATTCTTACTCGCCAACTGCCTGAAATCTTTTAAGGCTACAGGAATGGGCTCCATGTCTCAGCCTGTGTTAAGCCACTTTGTGGTCCAATGACATTTGTTAACACTCGTAGCCATTCACTACACAGCAGAGATGAAGGAAAGGAGTCAACTATGGGCCAGCTTCTGGGACTGGGGTCGAAAGGGACATGATATAGAAAAACTAGCCTAAAGAGATCAAGATGGAAGGAGTCAGGTCTTAGGGGACCGGGGGTGAGGCAAGACGGTACTGAAGGGATAAGAGGAAGAAACAAGGTTAAAGCAGAGACAAAGGAGTAAGTGAACACCACCCTAGAATGGGGCAAAATCGGCAAAAATGGTGGTAGTGGGTTCCAGCAGGCCTCTGACCTCAGGCACGGCTTCCCCTAAAGTCTCACTTAACTGAAAGGCCTTGGCCTCTCCCATACTTCACGCCTACATACTCTCAGCCTCTAAAAGGTCATCTCTTTGGCCCATGATCATAAGTTTGCTTCCTTTCACTTTTTCTTTAAGGGTCTCCATGGAGGGAGGGCTGACATGTAATTGAGGCACCTACATGTTATATGTGCTCTTAAAAAAATCTATTAATAAACATAATATGGTCTCTGATCATTAAAAAAACTAAAGACCTCATATAACAAAGTTTTTTATGCAAAATATAATAAAGCAAAAAATATGGAAGTCATCATTCTTTGACCATGAAGGTACTTTTTTTTAATTATGAAAAATTCCAAGCAACTACAACAGCGAAGAGTGAAATGAAATCCATGTGCTCATTACCCAGCTCCAGCACCGACTCATGGCCAAGCCCCCTGTAACTATACCTCACCTATCCCCTGCCCTCTAGATTACTGTGAAGTCAGTCCCAGCCAGCATATCTTTTAGGGCACATTTCAATGAAAATCCTCTGGGAAGTATTTAGTACAAAATGCTGGTATCAGCCTTTCTAGAATTCTAAAAAGTTTTCGGGGGATAGGGAGGGTGCCATATAAGCAAGATGACCATCATTTCTGCAAACTAAGGTCATGCCCAGTAACCACAGCCTAAATCAGTGATGGCAAACCTATGACACGCGTGTCAGAGGTGACACGCGAACTCATTTTTTTAATTTTTCTTTGTTAAATGGCATTTAAATATATAAAATAAATATCAAAAATATAAGTCTTTGTTTTACTATGGTTGCAAGTATCAAAAAATTTATATATGTGACACGGCACCAGAGTTAAGTTAGGGTTTTTCAAAATGCTGACACGCCGAGCTCAAAAGGTTCGCCATCACTGGCCTAAATAAAGGCAGACAAGGGTATATCAACCCTTGATGAACTGCACATAGGACGAAAAGCCAAGTTTCCTACCACGCTCCTACAGCCACAAGCCCATCCTGACAAGAATGATATCAAACAATGCTGTCTCTTCTGGCTACTGCTACTGTGAAGAGAGGCAAAGGGCGGAGTACCATCCAGGCCCCTCTGCCAGAGGACACTGCAGAGGCAGCACACCTCACTGGCAAAGCCAGACTCCAGCAGCGTGTTTCAGAGACAGACCTCGTGACTGCTGTCCTTCTCTATGCTCAAAGCAGATAAAGCTATTTTTATAACCTTTCTGTTTGTGTAAATGTCCATCAGAATGGAAGCTCTTTGAGGGTGGGGTTTTAAAAATATATATTTCCATTTATTTCAGAGAGAAAGGGAGGAGAGGGAGAAACATCAGTGAGAGAGAATCTGGTCTGCTGCCTTCTGGAGAGTTTGGCCACCCTGTTGGAGTGTCATCTCTTACATCAAAAAGAGGTGGCGCCGAACCGGTTTGGCTCAGTGGATAGTGCGTCGGCCTGCGGACTGAAGGGTCCCAGGTTCGATTCTGGTCAAGGGCATGTACCTTGGTTGCGGGCACATCCCCAGTAGGGGGCGTGCAGGAGGCAGCTGATCGATCTCTCTCATCGATATTTCTAACTCTATCCCTCTCCCTTCTTCTCTATAAAAAATCAATAAAATATAAAAAAAAAAAAAGAGGTGGCGAGTTCTGCCCTAGCTGGTTTGGCTCAGTGGACAGGCGTCGGCAGGCGGACTGAAGAGTCCCATGTTCGGTTCTGGTAAGGGACACATGCCTGAGTTGCAGGCTCGACCCCAGTGGGGGGCATGCGAGAGGCAGCCAATTAATGACTCTTCTCATCATTGATGTTTCTATCTCTCTCTCCCTCTCCCTGCCTCTATGAAATCAATAAAATATAAAATAAAATAAAAAGGTGGCAGGTTCAATCCAGTCGGAGCACATGCAAGAGGCAGCCGATCGATCGATGTTTCACTTTCAGATCCATGTTTCTCCTCCCCCCTTCTTCTAAAAATCAATAAAAACAAAACAAAAGAACACTTTCCTTCTCTGCCGCACCCAAGCTCCGGAACCATGCCTGTGCGAGCACCAGGGCCTACACGCTGACCCCCCCTCGGCCTGTGTCCTGTCCAAATGCTCCTCCACGGCCCAGGCGGACACAAGGTCTTCCAGGCCGCAGGGGACGCCGAAGAGGCCATCACAGCTCTTCTGAGGACGTTTATACGTAAAAAGGGTGGCGGCCAAGAGATCCCTGTAGGTGGCAGGAGGGCCAGAAATGCTGACAGGTTTGAGGAGGCAAAAATGAAACCTGGGTTAGGAAGGAGTTCGGGCTGGAGAAGCCATTTGAAATTTTTCAACAGAGCAAGATAATCAACATGGTGCTTTTAGCGGACATATAAGGAAAGTATGAAAAAGAAGTAACAAGGGTTTCACTTACTTGTACCTCCTCTTTCACCATTTTAAACAAGAAGAGGCAGAAACTAAAGGCAAAGAGGTACCTCAGTTATTCTATGGTAGAGAAGAAACTATTTGCCCCAGGTTGTTGTTTATTGTTTAGCATCTATCTAAAATTCAAAACAACAGAAGACACTCAGGAAACACTTGTTTATTGGGAATAAACAAACTCTGAACCTACCCCAATTACTAATGAACAAAGAAACCCACACGGCTCATAAAAAGCACTTTGATTAAAAGA